TAGTTGATTTGTTGCAGGGTTGGTTGGCTTTGGAGGAAGTTATTCAAGTGGGTCCTGTCCCAGGATTTGGAAAACTGCTTAGCTCCATTTTAGATACTTATCTTTCAGAGTAAGTTCACATCTGTCTCTGATATATTATCAAGTCTAATGATATGATTGGACTTGTTTTAATTATGAAAGTGCATCTTGAATTTGTATTTAAGATATTCTTTGAGGCCATTCTTGTAAGACTACCTGCAGCCAAGACCATGCCATATGTAAAGAAAATTTTCTGTATATCTATTTTATCCTTCCTCAAACTTCAATGTATTGCTTAGAATTCAATGATAATTGATGTTAACTGAAAGTAAAGGTTCTAAATTTTTTATCTGAACTCCTAAAGTGTTAATCTAAAATGATTATCCCTACTCCTCATTTGCGATGTTTTTACCCATAGAGGAAGCCATGATTTACTGCTACTGTTATCCTGAGTGATTGTGGATATTGTACACTAACAGTCTTAAGAGTATTCCATGGATTCAACTCTGTTTGGAATCTCTGATGTTGGTTTTGTTTGCTATTATATTTTTCATAGGTATGACATGGAGACAATCTACTTCGATGAAGGTGTAAGAACTGCAAAAAGACAACATTTGGAGTCTAAAGCATTGGATGTAAGGTTCAACCTACTTATTATGTATGTTATTCATTTTTGTTATTGAGAGAATAACTTTTGTAAAGTTGTTATGCATGTATGTGGGACTTATGGTAAAACTTTATGGTTTCATGCAAGTGCACCTTAAAAGCATGTTAACACAAGATATACTTTTTACCATTTATGCTATCTGTTATCGTTTCCAGATTGTGTTTAATGGTGAAGAGGTTAGCTACTTTCAATGAATCATTCAAACGGAAAACAGTATATTTAGCGTGGTCTAAAGGTGTGCCCTAAAGGCACATGTTAAGGACAATTAAAAAAACAATCGTGGATGTACCTAATTTGCAAGACAAGTAAGCACATTATTAAATGCATTAATGTCATCAAAGTTTCGTAGACTAGTGGTTTGAACATATTACCGACGTTGGATTTAAATGTGAAGTGTGACTTCACCTAATGCATGATTATGGTTACCACATCATTTGTTTTATTTAGCTCTAATTTTTACTTCTCATGCCACATTAGTTTGTATGTGTTCATGAATCTTGATTACCTCGTGGGCTAACTGGGGTAGCAGCCTGTTATTTTTGACAATCAAGGAAGGTTATATTAATTTTTGTAACTAGAGGGTTCAATGTACTTTTCCTTCATTATTANAATTTTTTTTTTTTTTTTTTTTTTTTATAGGCCTAGAGCTGTCTGTGTTGGGAAGTTATCAGCAGTTTTGCTGGCTACTGCTGCTATTTCTTCTCCTTGTTTTGGCTGCGTTCATTTGCAAGTTTTTTGTAGTTGTAGTGCTAGGTTTTTGGGCTCTTTTTGGTGGCTGGTTTTAGTGTACAACTTGTGCAGTTGGTTTTTGTTTATTAAAAGACTGCATTGTTTTTGTGCTGCTGGTCATTTTTTGTATAGTCCTCTCTGAGGCTAGTTAGATGATTCTTATGGATTGTAAATTTGTGCCTTTGTTGTATTTGTTTTGCTTGGTTTATTGGGCTTGTCTAAGGAACATGACTTTGTAGAGGTCCTCTTATTGGGATCTCATTTTTTTATACTTTATATTATTAATGAAGTAGTACACACATTTGTTTGGACAAGCTTATGATGTAATCTCATTTTGACAGGAGTTGTTAGAAGGTATGAATTTTCAAAGTTTATGACAAGCTTTTCATGTAATCTCATTTTGACTTTCATTTGTTTATTAAAATTTTTCAAGTGATTATTGAGTTGAAATGTAAATATTTACGCTTTATGGTTTGTGGATGAGAAAAGGCAAGTGATAAGCACAATACTTTAGACTATTCATGATAGTGATATAATCACTACAAAAGGGAGAAAATGATGGTGGCTTTATTAGCACTTGTGAGTTGTGTCAAGCATTAATTAAGCACTCCCAAAAAATGCCAACTAATCTAATGTAAAGTGCTTCAGTACATTGCTTAAAACTCTATTAAGAATCATTCGTGTTAACGTAAACTTATAACTCAAATATAGTACTGGGTTTATTATGTAAAAAGCAAAAGTTTACATTTATATAAGTCTAACATACATTGAGACCAGTAAGCAGTGAAACTCGAAAAACAATACATACGGGTGCGAACTGATCACAATCCAAAACTTCTAATCCAAATTTTTTCTTGATGTGTATCTCAAAAGCAACAAATACATCACAAAAAACAAAAGGTGACTTCAAGGTAAATCTAGAAGCTGGTTTTATAAACATCCTTAGAAAATATTGTCAAGTAAATCATTTTCTGCGTATAAACTTAAAGAAAAATTTCACTTTGGGACGGAACCCCAACAGAGAGGATAGGTCTTAAGCTTTCAATTTCTTCTGTCGGCTTCTAAGTTTCTTCTTTTCTGTAGAAATGAAATATTTTTATAGCAAACTACTAGTAGTCAAATAGAAACACAAACTACCATGTTAAAAAAATTAAACAGCATAACGCCAATGCAATCCACTATCAAAATGTTTATGAAAAGGTGCTGCCCTCAAAGCTTAACAAATTCATCCCCTTGAATTGTCCTCAAAGCTTAACAAATTCAACAATGAATAATTCAAAATGCTTATGAAAGTGTTTCATTTATTTTTAAATAATGTCTTGACTCCATTTTCAATGTTTTCTTTTTTAAGAAAAAGTCACAGTTAAATAGCAAAATATGTTTTTGAGATCTTATAATGATGTTAAAAGCTGTTACCAAATAGTTGAAAACAGTTTTACAGCTCAAATCCACTAATTAATTAATTAAAATCCGGCCTCCAAATTCAGTAGCATCCAACCCACAAACTCAAACCACAAGCCATTCTCTATAAGATGCAATTGAAAGAATGTTTAGAGAAGAATACCACAGACCTACCACCACAGTTAGTGTTCATCCTGTACAAGTTCCTCTTCTTTCTTTATGATGGATAAAACTTCAAGAACGGCAAAAATTGGATCTTAGTTTCTTACCCACAAGTAAATAAACAATTCATTAGCACTTTCAATTAAAATAGAAAGTCACAAGATTTATTATGAGCAAAGAAACACTTTATTAATATAATTGCTGGTATTAGCCATTTCTTGTACAATATTTTTACCAAACCAAAACATGATCCTGTAGTATAACATTGGAATCAGCATCAAAACCTTGAAACATTTAAAAACCTAAATTCGGAGCAATAAACTACATCAATGAAACAGAGCTCAAACCTGCCAGACACTAGCTTTCTCAGCACAAAACTTAGAAGCAGAAGCCAAAAACTCAGAGGTGAATCCGAAATTACAATTCTGACCATCATCCCTACCGTAAAAGTCCCCACTCCCACACCCGCCAAATTGGTCCCTTCTTTTTCAAACTCACACCATACTCTTCTAGACATAAACCCAATTATCTCCTCAAGTTCCTCAACTCTCCTCTTCGGTTCTGTCTTCTCCCCTTCCATTTCCTCAATCTTGGATCTCAAACTCACCATCTCCTCATTCGCAGCGTCGATCTGTTGCAGAGCTGCCTCTCCTCCACGTGCCGCGTGTTCTTGTGAGTAGCAAAGATCTCCACCACCCTCACATTCACCTTCGAGTCCTCCTTCCTCCATGACTTCATCTGCCTCAACTGCTCCTCCACCGCCGAGATAGAAGAAGAAAACCATGAAACGAAGAAACTTCTCTCTTCGTATCTCGGTTTAAGTTTCTCTTTACTCTTAGCTTTATTTCCACAGAAGTCTTCTCTTTTTGATACCCACTTCGAAATCTCAAGTACAAATTGATTTACGGTTTCTAATTAAGGACAAATTTTTGATAAATTTGGGGAGGTAAAATTTTTTGGGAAATAATAGAGATATAGGGAGTAGTGTACCGATTCGGTGTACTTAATAAAATTATGAGAGTTGATTAATTATAACTTAATATTAATGGATAATAGCATTAATTTTTTTTGGTTTTGAGAAACTAACATGACGAATAGATAACGTGGCAGACGTCAATTTGTAGGGCCGTTACTAAGATTAATTTATAAGGAAAGCATTGTTGTTTTCTTTTACGTAATTTACATGTGCAAATAATGCAAAAATATTTCAAAATTTACACGTGTATTATTTTTTAATATTCATTAAATTAAATAATTGAGATTATTATGATTACGATTACGATGATGATATAATCTATATTATTATCCATATTCCCAATCCTATTCTCTAAATATTGTTTGGCATATTATTTGAGAAATATTATTATATATTTTTAATTATTTTTAGACCCTTTAAGTTTATTAATTTTATTAAATACCCCTAGAAAAAAGTTTAAAAAGTAACAAAAACACCCCCTAAACCTATACTCGCTAGATTCCGACCACCACCGTCGGTGAGAGTTGGAATCTGTTACAACGGCCTACACCACTACCAAAGAAGGCCAGTAATTCACCGATCTGGCTGTCGTTGACTGACAACGACGACCATATCTTTGGCCATTGCTAACGGCCAAAGATGGACTTTTTCGGTCGTCGACGGCCACATCTGGCCGTAGATTTGACCTTTTTCGGCCAGATCCACCAGAAAATGCCATATCGACGCATTACGTCACAAATCCGACCGGTCCGTATCGTAATACAATTTTCTGGCCAGATTCTGGCGGTGGTGGCGGAATCTGGCATTGCGGGTGGTCGGGGTGTTTTTATCATTTTACAAAAATTTTATATATTGGGGTATTTAATTAAATTAGCAAACCTAGGGGGTTTTAGAAATTTTACCTCGTAATACTCCCCTATTCAACTACCCAATATTATTCCTAAAATCCTATCCAAAATAATAAACCAAACGCACCCAAGAACATTCCATAGAATAAAAATAAAATAAGACATAAATACGCCTGTCACAACTTGAGAATGCCACGTATCTTCCTAAGATTTCTCTCTGCAACAAAACGACGGCTGTCTCCTTCTCCTTTACTTCATCTCTACTCCATTCTCTTCACTTTCACTCCCTTCCAAATTTCTTAATTTTTTTAATTTCAATTTTTATTTCTTTTCCTTCAATTGAAACCCTAGAATTTCACTTCCTTATGGCCGAAGACTCGCCTTGCTCCACGCAACTCATCGACGGTAACGGCAACTTCAATGTCGAAGGCCTCGACAACTTTGTCCGTACCACCAAGCTCGCCGATTGCGGCCTCTCCTATGCCGTCGTCGCCATCATGGGCCCACAAAGTAGTGGTATGTATCTCCAATTTCATTTTGTTAGTTTTTGTTTTGCTGTAGGTTTTTCACGGATTTTTGACTTTAAGTTTTGATTATGTTGCTGGCCCTGTAACGTTACCGTTCAATGTTAGGTTCTAAATGTTAAGTTCTGATTTTTTTTATTTATTTTCTAGTTAATGTAACGTTTTATTTATGAATTAATGCTCTGTTTCGGTTTAAATTTGGGTTTTATGTTGTTGTTTCGGTGAATGGCGAACAGGGAAAAGTACTCTATTGAATCATCTTTTCCATACGAATTTTAGAGAGATGGATGCATTTAGAGGAAGGTTGGTGTTTTTTTTTTTTTCCTTTCTCTAGTGCTGTTATTTTGCAGCTTTATTTGAGAGTTGGGAAGATCATTTTTTTTTTTCTGTTTTGTTTTTGGGGTTTTGGGCAGGAGTCAGACAACTAAGGGAATTTGGTTAGCGAAGTGTGTTGGCATTGAGCCTTTCACTATTGCCATGGATTTAGAGGGAACTGATGGGAGGGAAAGAGGCGAGGTAATAAGCTTTGTGTTGCTATTTTTACTTGGTTGAAATTCAATTTATAATGGAAATGGGGTATGTTTTGCTGTGAAGGAGGCTTGTTTAGCATATAGCTCTTAGTCTTTCTGCAGTTCTATTTGGCTGTCAATATGAGTATAATAAGCCATAGGTGTTAATAGAAGCTACAGGAATATTCATATATGTTCAAACACTTGTCCACTCACAAATACATCAGAACTATGTCTCCTGAATTTTAGTTTAAGTATTAGCTCTGAAAACCAAAGGGTAGATGATGTTTTGAGAGGAAGGTGCTGTTGTGAATACTTTAGCAATTGTTACTGAGTTGTGTGATATTTCCTTGCTCTAAATTAGGGCTGAAGTCGGTTAACAGTTTATAAGAGGGATCATGATACTTGTTTCTATTTGTAATGGCAAATCCAGAATTGAAGTCCTTGCTATCTTCAAGTTGTTAATTTTCATTCATGGTTTATCAAGTTTGAATCCTTGGGAACCGTTTCAGATCAAATACTTAATATGATCTTTGTGAGGCTTAAAGTTGATTGCATATATCTAGCTTGTCTATTGTCATTTTCTGAAATTATTCTTAGTTTTGGGAAAATGTTTTCATCATTCATAAACGGTGTCTGCAAATCTTTTATTTTTTTCAGGATGACACTGCATTTGAGAAACAGAGTGCCTTGTTTGCTTTGGCAATTGCAGATATTGTACTGATAAACATGTAAGTCTGTTCATTATTGTATTTAGAGCTGCAAATATGTTGGCATTACAGACAGAAACCTGGTTTTGGAACGACTGCATGGAGAAGTGCAGGCTTCCTACAAAACAGAGAATGGCCTTGGACTTTTGGCTTAAAGAAATCATAGAGGATAGATCATTGTAAAATGACCCATCATAAATAAGTCTAGGCCTGGCCATTCTCTAAGGTTGCCCAAGGTTTTTTAAAATCTGGACTTTGCTGGTCTATCGACCTATATATTGTTCATGATTTCTCTCTTTGCTGTGACTTTGGCTAGCTAATGATTAGCCCTTGTTTCCTTTTATACATGATGTACGTATAAAACATCTAAACAGGCATTGGTATTATTTTGTTTATTCCAGGAAGCAGCGTTTTATGCGATTTGATGTTTGGCAACTACTGTATCAGGATAATTTTTGGAAATACATATCTTAATTTCTTTGTTCCCAGAAAAAAAAAAAAAAAAAAAAAGATCAGCGAAATTTCTTTTCATCTTTTCTGTTGGCTGTACCAAAGTTTGTTTTTCTTTACCAAATTTCATATTAATCTGAACTGGACACTGTCTAAATTTAGACCTATTCTCTTTTCTCTTAAATGTATCTATTAGAAGCACAGAAAACTCGTGGAAACACAAAAAGTTTTGTTGTTAGTTCAGGTGTTACTAAGATGTTTAATGTCATGTGTAGGTGGTGCCATGATATCGGTCGGGAGCAGGCTGCCAATAAACCTCTTCTAAAAACAGTTTTCCAGGTACTCTAGCCAGTTGTTTGTGGTTGATGTCTTATTTTCTGTTTAGTTTTTATGATAATATTTTCAGTATTTTACATAATATTCTGGTTTTCTGTGATGTATATAGGTCATGATGCGTTTGTTTAGCCCACGTAAAACGACTCTTCTGTTTGTTATACGTGATAAAACAAAGGTGTGTGATTGCAGTTTAAATTTTCCCTTACGCTTCATTCTTTTTGTGGAAGGGACTTTCTCTTCTCTTTTGAATCATTATCTTGTTCATGACTGTCCTTGCAGACTCCTTTTGAATATTTAGAGCCTATTTTAAGAGAAGACATTCAGAAGGTATATTTATTTATGTTTGCTCACATTTTGTTTGTTCATTCTTTTGTTTATTTTATTTCTTCAGCATTTTGATAGGAGGTGATTTCTACAGATATGGGATGCAGTTCCTAAACCTGAGGCCCATAAAAGTACTCCTCTCAGTGAGTTTTTTAATGTAAGTAAACATTCTTCTATTCTCTCTGTGACTGATTCTTTTTTATGTATTACTTTATATTATACTTGACATAAGATTCTTTTAATTTCTTACTTGACATATAGGTGGAGGNCAGCTGTTCAAGCTTTAGATAGTAATTCCAATAGATTGGTTATTCATTTACAAAAGTGATCGGATGTCTATATTTTATAAATGTCTATTTGTCCCCGGAAAAAAATTGGTTTGATGTTTGTCAAATCTTCATAATTTATAGCATTCAGCTTGTTGGTTGCTTTCAACTGTTTTTTTAATTATGGGTTTGATTTCGAGGTTGAATTTACTTTCATTGCTCAACTAGAATGTTATTTACCATGATATTCTGGACGTTGATTCCCATTTATAATTTGCCATGTTACCAGATGGCTGGCATAATTTCCCTATCATCGAGGTTTCTTCCCACTGTTATGAACCTTCTCAGGCGACTTGCTGAAGAGGCTCAAGGGCGTCATACTTCAGAAGCTCCAAGACCACAGCAATCTCTGGCTTCTCAGAGTTTCAGACACCAAACTCAACAAAATCCGGTATCTAGGTCAATTCCTGAGTCATCCGTATCTTCTAACATTTCTTCAACTGATAGTGATGTTGAATATTCAAGCCCTAACTTAATGCACAGGCGAAGCACGAAAACCCAGGATGCTGAGTTCTCTTGAAAAAAAAAATCTGTTCAATACTACTTCAATGTAATAAATGTATCAAAGTAGGAGGGAGAGTCACTGTTGTCTTCACAGTGTAACCCTTTCCGCTGTATATGCAGGGGAAAAGGGGGTATCAGGGAAGGAAAGGAAGCGTTGACCTTAACAATAATGTTGAGGTTAGAGGAAAGGGAGAGGAAGAGGGATGAAGGACAAGGAGGCTGGAGGCTGGTTTATACATACGCATACATATTTATATATATGTGTAAGATGAATCATGGTCGAATGAGAAATATGTATACTATATAATGTGATATTGAATTTAATAAAATAATAAAGAAATGAGTTGATTTAGAAGCAAAATAATGTTGTGATTTTTGTTTGAAGAGAAAATATTTCTAGTGTTCCAGAAGCGATCTTAAAGAAGCTAATGGAAATGAAAATGGAATGGAGGTTGATTGCTAATCGCAGTTACTGAAGGGTCTCTTAAAAATATTGTTTATCAGTAAATATTGGTTTATGTTCAATGTCACATCTCATTTTATGAGTATTTATGTATGATGTACATTTCAATACATGTCGATCTGAAGCTTAAATGGTATTAGAAGAACACTCCAATGGAAGGGTTTGAATAGTGTATGAGTTGCTATGTTTAGTGAGTAAACGTTGTGGAACATGTGCTAGGTTTCTCCAAAAGATATGTTGATAACACCAGTACAATGTAAATCTTTGTGGAGGCAATTCAGAGCAGAGACTGAGTATGTGGTCACTCAAGCAATTTCGGCACAGGTATATTATTTTGCCTTGCTTGTTTGAAATATTTTTGTCTCTAGAAGTGGATTGTATCTTCTATATTTTTCTAGCAATTTAGTTTTTGGAATAAATTGATATTTTAGTACAAGTTTTCATCTTATCACTAGCTATGTTTTAGATTTATGTGCCAAATGGAAAGCAATTAATTATACATGATTTCAAACTTCTTTCCTTTCATTTTTGAATTGCGGTGACTGTTTTGTTATATTTATTTGGTGTTGCAGTAGTGAAAATCAATTTTATTATAAAATTGGGATATTTTTTAGCTCAGTACTAGCTGACTTTTAATGTTATGTGCCCATTGGAATTCAGATGCTGTAATTTCTGTATTCCAACATCTTCACCTTACTGAGTTTTTGTTGTAAGTTTTAATTTTACAATACTATAATAAGGCCGCAGCCATTTCAGTTTTACTTCATTGCATTGTACTTGTAAAAATCTGTACCATAAGGATTTGACATGTGGAGGCATGTATTGAAATTTTTTATGGGAACTTAGTAGTGTTTCTAGTTTCTGTTTTGTTGAAGTCTCAAGTTTGTCTGAGATCTAATTTTTAATAAATCAAAAGATTCTTCAAATGCCAACGTGATATCATGCGAAGTTTTGGTAATGTTTGGAGACATCCTAAAGCATATGACTTGGTCTGATGTAATAGGAAATAAAAATAAAATAAAGTAAAATAAGAAGAAAACCTTAATGATGTTTCAAGTATCATGGATGTTACAGTATTTGACCGTGCAGACACTGAAATTTGTTGAAACACAGAATATGTGTCAGTACACAAATTCATTGATATAAAATCTTGTGCAAATCTAACCTTAATGTCATCTGTGGATCTGGAGTTATAGTAAGCTTGTATGATTTCAAAGGATTAGTCATTGAATGAACTGAAAATTAATAGTCAATGTTGTAAAAGAGAAAAGGAATTGGCCATTTGATAAACAAGGATAATAGAGAAGATTTCAAATCCCTTTTGGATCCTTTTTTTTATATTATTGCATGTATTCGCACCTCTCACTTATGATGCTCTGTCTGTTTTCTGCAGGAGGCTCACAAACGGAGTAACAACTGGTTACCGCCTCCATGGGCAATTGCGGCAATGGTTATCCTTGGTTTTAACGAGTTCATGCTCCTATTAAAGTAACAACCTATCTAAAGTTGTCTCCGTTGTATAGTTTCTCTCCTCTAGTTAGTCATTTTATATTTTTATTTATTGATGTTTCTCTGCTGGTGTAACAGGAATCCTCTTTATCTTCTGATATTGTTCGTTGTATATTTACTTTCAAAAGCCTTATGGGTACAGATGGACATCGCCGGAGAGTTCCAACATGGTGCTGTGAGTATTAAAGAAAGCTTTGTACACAATACACACACACACACACACACACACACACGAACAATGAAAACGTCATCAGCTGTGATACCAATAGTCCTGCACGGGAACATGTTATCAAACTCATGGCTTCTTTATTACCTTGATGGTTGCTTGATTGGTGATTAACATAATTTTCCATGATTAGACTTTTATTTGTTTTTGTCAGTAATGCTTGATTCTGAACTTTAAGCAGCACTCCTGTGGGTTCAAATTATGCAGCTGTTCAAGCTTAGATAGTAGTTCCAATATATTGGTTATTCATTTACAAAAGTGATTGGACGTCTATATTTTACAAATGTCTATTTGTCCCCAGAAAAAAATTGGTTTGATGTTTGTCAAATCTTCATGATTTATAGCATTCAGCTTGTTGGTTGCTTTCAACTGTTGTGTTTTTTTTTTTTTTTTTTTTTATATTATTAATGGGTTTGATTTCGAGGTTGAATTTACTTTCATTGCTCAACTAGAATGTATTTACCATGATATTCTGGACGTTGATTCCATTTATAATTTGCCATGTTACCAGATGGCTGGCATAATTTCCCATCATCGAGGTTTCTTCCCACTGTTATGAACCTTCTCAGGCGACTTGCTGAAGAGGCTCAAGGGCGTCATACTTCAGAAGCTCCAAGACCACAGCAATCTTGGCTTCTCAGAGTTTCAGACACCAAACTCAACAAAATCCGGTATCTAGGTCAATTCCTGAGTCATCCGTATCTTCTAAACATTCTTCAACGATAGTGATGTGAATATTCAAGCCCTAACTTAATGCACAGGCGAAGCACGAAAACCAGGATGCTGAGTTCTCTTGAAAAAAAAATCGTTCAATACTACTTCAATGTAATAAATGTATCAAAGTAGGAGGGAGAGTCACTGTTGCCTCACAGTGTACCCTTTCCGCTGTATATGCACGGCAAAGGGGTATCAGGGAAAGAAAGGAAGGTTGACCTTAACAATAACGTTGAGGGTAGAGGAGAGGGAGAGGAAGAGGGATGAAGGACAAGGAGGCTGGAGGCTGGTTTATACATACAACAATTAATATATGTGTAAGATGAATCATGGTCGAATGAGAAAATGTATACTATATAATGTGATATTGAATTTAATAAAATAATAAAGAAATGAGTTGATTTAGAAGCAAATAATGTGTGATTTTTGTTTGAAGAGAAAATTTCTAGTGGTCCAGAAGCGATCTTAAAGAAGCTAATGGAAATGAAAATGGAATGGAGGTTGATGCTAATCGCAGTTACTGAAGGGTCTCTTAAAAATATTGTTTATCAGTAAATATTGGTTTATGTTCAATGTCACATCTCATTGTGAGTATTTATGTATGATGTACATTTCAATACATGTCGATCTCAAGCTTAAATGGTATTAGAAGAACACTCCAATGGAAGGGTTTGAATAGTGTATGAGTTGCTATGTTTAGTGAATTGCGTTTTTTTTTTTTTTTTTTTTTTTTTTCCTTCAATTTTAGTTTTGTGTACAAGCTTGATATGTGTAATTATTAAAATATTACATGAGATTGGTCGATGAAGAAATATTGGTAATATTGAACATAAGATTAGTAATATATCAAATAATACAATGGGGTGCATATTTAATTATTTATAACATTAATTTTTCAGATTATAATTTAAAACAAATCTATCATCCAACGTATTATAAATATTGCGTTCAATGTTTATTACTAGTTTTAAATTATTGTTTATTTATTAGCCGTGAGATCATTTAGAATAAAACTCATCAATTTCGTTAAAAATAAATTAAATAGCCTTATTAAGAGCTTAAGATAATTTTGTATTAGGGGTGTGTTTTGATCATTTAAGGGGGTTTTAGATATTTTTAGGAGGTTTTAATAATTATAATAGGATTTTGAATACTTTCTATAACAAACGAGTTAATACTAGCAATCTCAAGGTGAAAATGAAATAAACCCCTCACCAGGCAGTAGTTTCCTCTTCTTTTTATTTTTTCTAATGTCCATGACATCAAATATTGGGAGTTGGGACTTTGGAGTAAGAGCAAATAAAGAGGGAGGTGAAAGTAAAAAATAAATTAAATCAAATCAAAATAAAAGTTGTCATGATGTTTTATTCAAATAAAACTGTTTTAAGTTTCTCCAGGACTTGTGTTCATATGAAGAGATTATAAACAAAGCTAGCCAACAAGCCCAACACAAAGAAAGCAACAAATCACGTGAAGCGAGCCGCTCATTAAACTGTTTACACTAGTTTGTATCTAAGCCTGACTGGAGAATAGGGTTATGGCATATTGGAGTTACAATTCTGCAAAATCTACAGAATTCAGAAGTCAATGACTCTTTCATCACAAAATTATTGGTGAAAGTAGCACGGTTTACAGCCATTGAGCACTCGAACACCATATGAGATGTTATCAGCCTCGATACTTCTGATTAAGGGAAGGAAAGAAAGAAGGGGACAAGAATGCTCACATCATAGATTAACACAGAAAAATACTTGAATCGATCTCATGACCATTGCTTGTTGCGTAGTTTAGAGATTGTCAAGTCTGCTCCTCCAAACCCGTCCATTATAGCATTTGCTGACGGGAATTCTGCTCTAGATATCAAACTACAAGAAGCGTAACTAGAAAACTTAAGCAATATATCAACATAGATTTAATCTACCAAAACATCTAATAGAATCAGTATATGGTATGCATAACAATCACGGAGGGGCACGTAATCTAACAGAAAAGCAACCACAAAAACAACTGGCAATATAACAATGAGAGACAAATTTTACCTGCTCCGCAATACAACGCAAGGCATGCCTATTCTTTGAGCCCCAGCCACTCCAGATTGACTTCCTGAAATAAGGACACAATTCTGTACTGGTTTTCCAGCATATTCTGCTCCCGCACGCAATGCAGCTACAATCTTATCTAAGCTGCACAATTCTTTCATATCAGATTGAAAGCAGGATTGCCAGAGTCAAATAAGGAATTATTTTGGGCAAGTAAAATATAATTTAACTCTTTCAAGATATCCTCTTTTTAAAAATTGATACGAGCATCCTATGAATCATTTTGTGCTGAAAATGCATATCCATTAACAAAGAGTAATACTACACTTACAAAGAAATTTTACAAAGATCTCCATACAAAGTGATGTGGCAAAAAATGAATGGAAGAGTGAATTTAATGAGTTTGACTTTTTGTTTCAGTCTTCCATTCATATTTTGCCACCTCACTTTGTATGGAAATCTTTGTAAGATTTCTTTGTAAGTATAGTATTATTGATCAACAAATGCATATACCTGCCCCATGGTCTCCATAAAATTGGCTTCATCAAAGCCATAAATAAGCTATGCAGAAATCATTTTAACAGTCCAAACCGTACAGACAAGTAACAAGTCATGATTTTCAGTGTTCTTTAAGAAAGGAAAATTTAACCAACCAACAAAAATATCTCCAATAGAAAGAAAAAAGTAAAGGAAGTTGACCAACCTTTCAGGTGAGGTAGTATCAATATCAACACTCAACTTTAGCATAGACGCAACCTCCTCTGCTATCTTTTGTTTCTGAGCAGAAACTGGCACAAGAAGCAAGAAGAGAATCCGTTAATACCCAACCTTCTGCACTGAAAAGCGTATTGGATATATAACAAATACATGGCAACCAAGTTGGAATTAGCACTCTACCTGCTTTTCTTGCTTCTGTGGCCAGTTGTTCATCCGTATCAGAAGACATTCCAAGTACTACTTGTCCGTATAAACTCTGTTCTACCTCTTGATTCCCAACAATTTTTATTTTTGAAATTCTTTCATGGCCAAGCTTCTCAATAACAGCTCTAACATTTTTCAATAGGTAAGAGCATATATTAGAAGCCCTTATACTGTTATTAAAGCATGCGGAGCTAAACTAAACTACATGGCACAAAACTTGAGAATATTACATTGTCAACATGGAAGTCCTTCAAAAGAGAAGAAATTTTTATTTCATCACATTCATTTGCTGCAACTATAATTTTTTAAGATCCCTTCATGTCACATTTCGTTTTGCATTCTATCAATGGTAGAAGGTACTTGCAATGGGGCTCTTGACTCACCAAAGCTTGCAACATAGCATTGAATAGATGCATTAAAAAGTATTACTATTGCAAAAGTAAATCAATGCAAATCATCCAAGAAATCTTGTGCCAGCAATGCCAAATGAGGATGTCTACAGTGCATTCAACATAATAGTAAAAACCAAATGAAGCATGAAGAGCTGCAATCTAAGCTTATTAGTGAACCATTTCTTTCCAACTCCGTAACTATTGTTGTTTATCATCTAAAAATCACTCAGTTTTTGTACCGGGTTTGAAGGGACTCCTACAGACCCTGCAGCCTTCATATTAAGAAACTTTCTGGGTATAATATCCCAAGTAGGTGGCTCCAAGAGGATTCGAACCATTGAACTTTTGGTTTCAAACTAAGGGCAGGAAATTCAACCCACCCCTATTGGTTTAATCTTGCATAGTTTCTATGATTTGCATCCTTCCATATGCCTAGTTTTGGATCCATCTACAATTAAAAAGTATTTAAATAGCAATATATCCGTAATCCTGTTGAATATTTTGCAGCTTTAAGTGATGCTCAATAACTATAGAAGACAAAGTAGATTAAAAATATAGCCGTTCGTGTTAACCCTAAATATTACAGAGTTGTGGTGTCATCACTGAATTTGCCTTTTACACGGTTCTGAGGAATGATATATACAGTTGAATGGTTAGTTGGTGTAAATTGAAAAATGCACAGTTGCAAAAATTAGAGGGCAAGAAAGAAGAATGAAAAGACAACCACATGCTGTCGATCATAACTGAAGCAACTTCTGATATTGCAAACGACCACAGCACATCCAGTAACTAATAGAACATACCTGGCAATTTTATCGCCACTTTTACTATAGGCTGATATGATCATGACAGGTATTCCTTCATTGTATGCTTCATCAATAAATCTGGAAACCAAAATGGCAAATAAGGTTTAGAAAGTTGATGCCACGAAATTCAGAAACAATATATCATAATAGTTAATAGAAAATAAAAGCAAATTAATATTATATTATTACATTCATGATAAATTTATGGTTTTAATCAGTTAAGTAGCATGAAAACCAATTTATATGGTGTCAATTGGATCACCAGCATTAGTTTTATATATATCAGGTCCTATGAACCATATGGAAAAAATACAGTTTTTCAACAAAGATAAAAAGCACGTCATTTATCCAAAAAGAATAGCAATCAATATTCCAAAGAATCCAGGTACTATGATCGTATAGTTTGAGACAAAATTACAATAACAACCAAAGGACTACAAGAGTTTCTTCTAGTTTCAGAGATATGAATATCTACTTCAAATTTGGTAATTAATAGAGCACTTGAAATCTATATTTATCGACCATAAGTCCCAGGAGAATATACAAGAAATAGTATGTGCAAAATGTTGTACTTAATTAAGATCAGACAACTTACTCTTCAACTCCAGGTCGTAAAGGTACATCCTTTGACACCAGAAATTCATTGAATGCATTTTTCTGCCAAAAATAAACCAGTAATTTAATGGCTTACCATGGAAAATTCTCAGCATCTTCTAATAGTTACAGATGAGCAACACAATACCATTAACTTATAGCAACTAAAATACCTTTTCCCGCAAGACACGTGTCACAAATGTTTCCTTCTCATTTGTGGGCAATGAAGTAGGCCAACCTATCTAAAAGAGTGACTATAAAAGTAAGATAGATTAAGCAAATTGCACAACAAGCACCATGCAGATAGCAACATGTTTGCATTTTATAATTCATAAAAATGAGGAGGGGAACTTACTCGATTAAAGAATAGAACCAGCATTCTTTCCTCATCACCAGCACTCTTCCTGGGAGGTAAAAAAATCTTGCATAAATTTCCAAAACCATCTTTAATCTCTCTAACAACGACTACTCAATTGCTACTTGTCCAAAACAAGCAACATAGTAATAGTAACACAATCAATTGCTAGTGTGCGCTGGCATTTATCAAATTTTAGAAAGTTAAAAATTCTTTTGTCATGCTTTATTTCAAATAAAAAATATTCATAGAATCAAGAAAACTCAAAGAAATCTGTTAGAAACCATGTTTATATATACAGTGTAAAGGGTAAAGGGTATACTTGTAATTATATTAGTGTGTGTATATATTTGAGTTAGGATGTACTGTTGAGATTAAGAAGAAATAGAGAGAGTAACAAAATCATAAAACGATGTGAAGTCTCCACACCTTAAAAGGTCTGTATAGACAGGCACAGACCAATTTGCACAGTCAAGCCCAAGCTTTTGAAACGCTGTCAGTATAAAACAAACAAAGAAAATAAAATTAGGAAGTCAAACTCACAAATATATGATTCCAAAACTAGTAGCATTATTAAATAACTATTGCATCTCCCGCACCTACATTGAAGGCTTGCCGATTGCCTAACCGATATGCATCCACAAGGATCCTGGAGAAAGGACATGCACAGAAAATTTTGAATGTCTATCTCAATAGAGGCAAAAAGTTTTAAGAGCAAGTAAAAAGAATACAGCGTTTTAAGTTTTTATAACATCAACTACATTCATCAGATATCTCAGGAAACATGTTTGCATATTATTATTATGCTATAATATTTTAAAACTAAAAACTATAACATAATGCAGATTATTACAACACTGTAAGTCCTGAAACATAGACGACATAAAAATTACACAATCATTGCCATTGGTTGATTGAGAATAAGTCCATCCAAAGGTAATAACAAATAGCAACAATTCAGGACAGGTTTTCATCTTTTCTCTGCAACCGCTTATTTTTTTTCAGACCAAAATTGAACCTAAAGACCTTCTCCACCACAACCCCACTCTTCTTTAGCACCCAAGGCAGTATCCTCAAGTAACAAAGCATAGTGAAAAACCAAATAGAGTGGTGCATAAATCAAGACTACAGTGGAAGACCAAAGTAACAAACTACACAAGATAGGACACAAATACATAAATAAACTAAAGCTAAAACAATGATACTAGCTCAATAATATGCATGCCGTCGGGTTATCATTACAGCTACGCGATTTCTGCAACCTGGAATAAAACTTGAATACAATTTTTTGCAATGCGTAATATTATGCCTGAAGTTTAAGGTTGAAAATTTTACATTTTTGGTTACAGAAAAAACCCCCATCACAGTAACAATACCCCTCTAACGTATCAAATCCCTGAAATGCATACAGAAGAGACCAAAAGATATGCACAAGATACAGAAATGAAAGTAACGTCAAAGCGACACATAATAAATTAAAATTTAGAAAACCACCAAGTAAAATACAGAGTACCCATCTAATCAATCCATGCACAAAATACAAGGAGTAAGTGAAGTCAGCATGAAATAAACCATCAAGATAAATCAAGAAAGTAATTCCCAATCCACATGGAGCAAACGATAATGTAAAAAAAGAAAATCACCCATCAACTTCAAGAAGAAGAGCGAGTTCCTGAGATGGGTTTTGAGTCTTATTGGGGGAGGTTGAGCAGAAAGCAGTGAAGCCGCCATTTGTATGCAGAAATTTTCCAGGAAAATTGAGCGAGGGGAAAGTGGTGGAAAATGAAGGAAAATTAGAGAGCTTGTGGTGGATTCTTGCTGGGGTTTCGTAGTAGAATTTATTGGTGGAATTGGTGGAGTTGATTATGCGAAAAGAGTTGAGGAGCGAACATGAAGTGGCTTCCATGGCGGTTTTTTAACAGAATTTTTATTCTGGCTTTGCCATTCTGAGCACCCATTTCAGCTTTATGTACTAGTTTTTTGTGTTTTCAAAAATAATATAATAATTAATTTTTTTATATTTTTATAATTTTAATTCCATAACCAGTCGGTAAAATTATGATTATATGTATTACTAGAAGATTTTAATAAGAGTTAATATTCGTGTAACAACAATTTTTTCAAGGTTACAAAAATAACACAAATTCCACTGGGGTAGTGTCTACTGTTGTTGATAATATAGGGGTAATTAGATTATTTCTAAGGGGTATTATTAAAAGATTATCGAGATAATCTGACTTTTATACTTATTTTGCCCTTAACTAAATATCATGATGAAGACAATTGCTTTTAAATGTTTATCAAAAAATCCTAAACCCTAAACCTCTTACATATGAGAAATTAGCTTAAACACTTCAGCTACAAAAAAATTTAAAACACTTCAGCTACAAAAAAGTTTAAAAGTTAACAAAATATCTTTAATTATCCAAGACCACCACCGGCCGTCGACCACCACTGTTAACTGTCGACTCATAATGGCATACAACATGCGAGATTTGGCCTGTTGTGTGTTATTTCTATGGCCATTTCACGACCAAAGATATGGCCGTGAAACGACCACAGATCTGATCGTGAAAATGTCAGATCTTTGTCTGTGAAATAACGACTGTTTCATAGCCACATCATTAACAACATGAGGGCATTTATTATTTTAGAAACTCTAAAGAGATTTTATTATTATATCATACCTCAAGGTCTACATCTTTAACTCTTTGGGGGTGTTTGGTTGGGGGTTATATGAGATTACTGAGGTAATGTCATCTTATATTACTTAATTACCATGTTTGGTTGTCAAAGTAATATAAGATTTTGGTAATCCTCAAATACCAATAGTAGTTACTATTGGTAATATATGAGGTAATCTGATTACCTCAATTTTCTTAGGTTTTCTAAGATTACCAAGATAATCTTTTTTTGTTACAATTTTATCCCTTATTAATAAAATCATAGGACAATAATGCCCTTGTTATTTAAACAATTTACAAAAAAGTTATGGACATTTTTAACCTTACACACAAAAATTTAAACCTGTTTATACCCTCCAACTTCAACAAAATTAAACATTCCCAATTTATTACTGCATGAAATCCCCTAAACCTAACTCGTTTACTCATCATCTACTGAATTAAATCTTCATCTATCAAATTAATTACCCACTTTTTTCATTAAAAATTCTCAATTCATTACTGTGTGAAATGCCCAAAACCTAACTCCTTTACTCATCATCTACCGAATTAAATCTTCGTCTACCAAATTAATTACCCACTTTTTCCACAGTTGAACACAAACCATTTGCATTTAACTTTGAGCTTCCTTTCATGTTCAGATCAAGTGGAGTGCGTTTGCTACAAATTTCTCGTCTTCACTTCCAGCAAGTCGTCGAGTGTTCCTTGAATCTGTGCCGTCGTCTCCCGCCGAATCGAGGTAATCATCCAGTTTTTACTATATTTTTTTTGTTCTTTTTCTTCTTGTAGCAGACGGTTTTCTGAACTTCTACAAATATGTGACATGAACGTTATACTTCACATTATTCGAAATAATTACCCCATTTTTTGATCTCCTTTTTGTATTTAGTCACGTTAATGTCGAATCTTAATATTTCAGAGTTCTTAATTATATGCTTAATTCGCCATTGAGTATCGATTGAATCAATATTCAGTCCTAAATTGAATTAGGTATGTAATCATAAGCTTTAGTTCCTCCTTGCTGAAATCCTGATTTAGACGCACATAATAGAATTTTATGTTTCCATATAAAAGTTGTTCCCATACAACACACACAATCTTTCACCTCCTTTAATAACCTTTTGTACCGTGAACTCCACAAAAATATTCTCATATTTGTACCATAGACCTTCTCTTGCACTTAAACTCTGTCAATCAAAGTTTCTTGTTGCAAGTCAAACACAAATTCACCACTTGGAATACTCAATTTGATCATTTTAGCTTGAGGATGACACAAACTGTGTTAACTTGATAATTTCTATCCACGAAGAGGCAGAGGCAGAAAATTGATTTCAGATTAAAGTATAATCGTTCGTTTTGGTTGGGTGTATTGTTATTTATTTGAGTCGGTCAATGTCAAATCTGTTTATCTTATTGCTTCTTCGGTGAACCTTTTCTTATACACACAGTAGTCCAACTTCAACCACCTTATTCCTTTTTGTTAAGTAGCTGAAATCTTGATGTATCAGATTCAACCAGGATAATGTGTTCTAGACAGCATTATGCATCAGCTAACTTATGCTATGTGAGCTTTTCTTTACACACAGCAGCCCAACCTCAACCATCTTATTCCTTTTTTGTTAGTAGCTGAAATCTTGATGTATCAGATTCAACCAAGACAAGTTTAGCCTTAGACCATGGCAAAGTTTGATGTCTATTTTGTGTAATTTACACTTTCCAAGCACACATTTGCATCTACAAATTTTGGTCGTGCAGCGCTTAGTGTTAAGTGCATCTTTTTTGGCCCTACAATGGACTTTGTCCCAGAGTGCAAATTTGTATTGTTGGATATTCTAAAAATTACGTTCAAATTCATCTCCCAATCTCTTAAATAATCTTTGGTACCTTCCACTTGTTAGAGTTTGCCAATATTCCTCCACGATTGCTCAAGACATATCTTTTAAACTGAGGAACAAAACAAGATCATTTCGTTCCATTTTTAGTAAAATAGTGAAGGATATTCCATTAGTAATGAATAAAGGGTAAACTGGTTGCTAAAGGTATCAAATATGTTAGTGAACTACTGAAATCTCTGCTGTTGTGATATCTTGCGAAGGTAAACTGGTTGCATTTTTTTTGGGAGTTTTCCCAAGTGTCCCACTGCTTTGGGTTGCCTGGTGTGATGTTTGCAGGGGTGTAGGCTGGATGTTGGAGTTTTGTTGGTTGTTTTGTGCATGTCATGGTTTTGTTTCAGTATTATTCATTTGAATTAAAAAGTTTGCATTTCACTTGCAGTGGTTAGTCTCAAGTAGGATTTCATATCTTTTTTGGGTTAACATCTGAAGTTTTCATAATTTTATATCTCCAAAAGGATATGCTTATTGGTTAGATCTGTTGCTAGAAGCAAGAGGTTTAGGGATCCAATCTCATACCAAACTTTGGGTTGACTAATTTAATTTGAGTTTGTGTATGAGGAAAATTGGCATGCAATATATATATATATCTATATATATCTATATATATATAATCCTAAAAATAATATGAAGAAGCCATAATTAATTCCAATTCTTATCTTTTATGATTCACACGGTACACATGGGTTCAGCTACAACATACACGTTGAATGCCCAGTTCATTTGGTGACGTCCAACCAGCACATGGAGCTTGTGGGGCTTTTGATAAACAAAGTCAAACTCACCCAAATTAAACCCAACCACTTGATGAGAGCCATACAATTTCATCTACCTACTGACAAATCACCACCTCTACAAGTATTCAGACTGAAAGCTTTCCCAATATATTTTCAATATAAAATAAGTGTAAACTAAAGACATGGGAAGTTATGCACAAGGTTTAGGTACAATTGTAGCAAAAAAAGACCAAACCCAGCTGTAGCAGGGAGTTGGGATTAGATGCAAAGTTAATAAACTTCTGCTATACAGAATATAGACCTAAACAAATGAAACCGTGAAAGAAATATTAATTGCTAAGCTTACGAGAATAAGGTATCTGAATTAACTTCAGAATTTTGAATACTTATATATTCACAGAAAGCTGTGACTTCATGGCCTATTCATAAGAAGAACAGAGTCTTGATGTTTGTGTAGGGACCTATAGTAAATTCTCGGGAATTATGTGAGAAGCTTGTTCAGATTAAGTAATTGATTTGAGAACTTGTTACTATGTGATATTGGATTGAGTGTTATATGAATATTAATTTGATTTGACATCTAGGAAGTTGCATAATTTCAATCAAGGATCACCAAATTTTGTATTCTTGTCTATCTAATGAACGAGATATCTACTTCAAAATTGTAATTAATTTTCCAGCTGAAATTTCAGTTCCCTGTCTCTTTCTTTGTATTAACCCGTTCTAATTAATAAGGTTTTGGTTTGTTGCAGCTGTTTTTCAACACTCTTGTTTGAAGAAAGAGAACATCAGGCTTTCATTTGTTACTGCTCTGAATATTCGGATTCCTGCCCATCATTTTGAATAGGTATAATTTTTGTTTTTGAACCCACTGTTGCACCTGCATTTTGCTTCTCAAATTAAATGCATGTCTGTACTACTTTGAACATGGTAAAAGCGCATATTTGTTTCTCTTATTTTTTTTTACAAAGTTGGCTTGATAAAAAGTAATCGTTACATCATATGTTGTTCTAGTATTCTGGCAGGTTACGCCGTGTTTTGGTGTTGAATTGAAGTCTAGTTGATGGGTTGTAAATATGTTTGAATTTCTGTATGTTATGCCCTTTTCCCTCAAAATTATGTTATGTCCTCTTCCCTCAATATGACAATAATCCAATGTTCCTCTGTGGACAGTAATGCTCGTTTAACTAAAGGCAGAAGCATTTGGTGTCAGTTATGATGATGTATTTTCATATGATGGACACCCTAAACATCATACTAGTTTTTACAACGATGCTTTGCTGTTGAAGAATAGGAATAGACATAGACGGGACAATTATATGCGGGTAACTTTTGCAGTAACCATACCATTAGGACCCTCAATTTACGAAAAATGATTTTTCAGATGATAACCAATGTGTAGTGAACTGTAGAAATGAATATAACAACTTTTAAAAAATTATGTGCGTTACTTCAACGTGAAGGGGGGTAAAATCAAATAGAAATACATCTATAGAGGAAGGTGTGTAGTTTCCTTCACATTTGTGCACACCATATCAAGACCGTTAGCTTCTAGATTGCTTTCGGTTGGGTGTAATATATAGTTGGTTGTGTTAGATGCTACAATCTTGTTCTAAATATTT